GAAAATGAAACTCACTATCACCTGTCCTACGATATTTTACGAGTTTTGGAAAATTGATCTTAAATACGCTCACCAAAGAGTGTTAATGTTCATAATTATTTCTGTGAATACGTATGGTAGGATAATTAGTTAACTCTCATTCCAAGAAAAGAAACGGAATTGAAGATGTTAAACAAATTTGAAAAAAAAATGAGAATGTATACAATTTTAGTTGGTTAAACGCAGTAAAACACCACGTTTTACTGAAATTAAGTGCATTCTTATCAATAAGGATCGCTTAACTCATGTGACGCAAGGAGACTAAAGTATTGAAAACCGACGATTGTGAAAGAAAATACGTTCAGTTCATAACACGAATTCGTTAGTGCAACGGCTCATAGAATTCATTCGATCAATTAGCATTAATCAATAAATCGAGAACGATAATTGATTCTTGTATGCACCACCATCATGAATCTCTTATTATTAATTTTGCCGGGGATATCAATTTTGTTTGTGAAGCTGAGTGATGCTTCTTATTATGGACAATTGATCAAGAACGTTTACGTTAAATACAATATGCGTGCAGTCTTGATAGTGAGGAGTGAACAATGTAAGTAAACGATAATGATAGATTAAATAAAAAAAGAAATCATCTTATCATGAAACATTACAGCAATGGAACGATCTACGGTTTGGCACGAATCGGCTAAGCAGCTATTCGATGAAGGAATACCAATTAGCTGTTGGCACACTAGTCAATATGACAACCGCACAATGCAATTAGAAGAAAATATTCAAGATATACTCCATGTCAGTGAGTTGCGTACAATGGAAGAACTGCAAGCTTTTCAATTATTCACCAATAATATGGAGATCAATAATGGTGTTTGGTTAATGATTTTTATGAGCTATGACAATCAGGATATATGCGAATACTGTCATGAGCCATCTGAGGATTTATTCAATTCAACATTCGATTTAAAACGACTTGTTGTATGCTGCAATTCGAAGACAGTGACAGAATGGAAACGTAGTCACACAAATGGTTTGAAAAACTTGGAAGTTGGTCAATTGGTGGATGACAATCGAGGAGTTGTGTGGATTGATAATTCCAATTACTATGACCATTTCTCTATGAACGGTAGGACACTGCGTGCGATAGGAGTCACGGTATAAACGCAATGATTTCTCGATTTTTTCCAATGATCACGCGCAAAAACATTTTTATCATTTCAGCGATCTTATTCAGTGTGGGAAAAAAATGATTCAATTTCTGGACTTATGGGTGAACTATTGATAGAATTATCGATAGCGATGAATTTTACAATATCAAAGATGATGTGGGATCATCAATTCGGTACATGGGATGCTGAAACCGCGAATTGGACGGGTGCAATTGGTAAGGTCCATCGAAACGAAGCTGACATTGGTGTTTCTGATTTCCTTATGACTAATCGACGAGCAGATGCCGTCTCATTTGCATCTCCAATTATATACGAAAAATTGAAACTGAACATTAAAAAAAACGATGCTGGATACGTAATGTTGAAAGCCTACTTCAAGGTATTGCAGACCAACAGCCATTATAAATTTTCAAAGCTCGAAATTGTAACGAACGATTCTCTAATAACAGTCTTTAGCCACTGATGTCTGGATAGTAATAATTGGTTTAATCGTAATAACACCTCTCTTGTTGACGATCATCAGATATAGAAGACGAGATCATTTTTTTCCACTTCTCTTTGAAAACTATTCATCCATTTGGGGTATTTACTGCCAACAAAGCCTGCCAGGTAATGATACCGTCTCTTCTCTAACTTACTCAATTTTTTATGAGAGATTTTTCGAATAGAGTGTCCAGAACAGCCATCTCAGAGAATTATTTATCTGTCAATATTGATATGTTCGTACGTCACTTTGGGCGCATACTCTGGATCAATGATCAGTAGTCTAGCCGTGATACAAGATTCATCATTTAATACACTGGAAGATCTAATTGAAGATGGTTCTTATAAGCTCCTGGTGTTCGATACGAGTCTAATAGATCACTTTTTCACTGTAATTATGTTTGTTACAATTCACTATTTCGAATGTGAGCTCTCACTTTTTCTCCACAATTTAATACTGCCTTTTATCATATAGGTTTCCGATGAGAGGCTACAGAAGAAGATGAAGTCTCTTATCATACCGTTGAACTCCACTTCTGGAAGCAATGAGGAAGCGTTCCAACGGGTATTCTATTCAACTCAGATATCAGATTTTGGTTTCAATTCCTGTAAATACCGTCAATTTTCAACATTCAGGTATGCCGTGAAAGAGTGGCTTTTTTTACGACTGAGAGCACAAAGAAGGCCCTATTCAATGTTATACCTTGCGAACTTTCTTCCATTGGAACTGGAATTGTCGCTACTGCATCAATAATCCTGCCTTTGAACAGCATAAATTTGGCACCAATTAATGACAAGTAAGAGTTATCCACGGCAAACAAAATTTTATGTGGTCGCATCAGAATAATTCATTGAAATATAACTTTTCTAAGTCTTCGGAAATTCAGAGTTAACGGCTTAATACGACGATTGGAGCAAAATTACTTCAGGCAGTTGGAACGAAAAAAAACAGAGCATCCACCAGTAACAGTGAGAGGAATCGTACCACTTCTGATGATCCTCGCTGTCGGATTGTCAGTTGCTCTTATAATTTTCATGATCGAACGAAATACTCCCTGGTTTATGCAGAAAACCTACAATACAAGTACACGAAGGGTTCGTCTAGGAAAACACACGACATTTCCATTGCTAACCCAAAACTATGGACCTAGAAAATTGACCTGGAAT